ACTTGAACTCATGAACAGCAAGATCATGACTTGAGCTGAAGTTGGATGCTCAACCGACTGAGCCACCCAGGTGCCCCCCAGGAGTGGTTTTTTAATTGAGGTGTAATTTCTATACAATAGACACACATCAAGTTTTGTTTTCTTTTTAAAGCCAGGCAAATAAAGGGGAGTAGAGAAGGTATGAGAAGTTAGGAAGGAAGGTGTGAGGCTGTTGTCCTGCAGGGAGAGGAGAGACCACAGGCCAGGGTGCCTCTCATCTCCAGCATGCACCACGGCTCTTGGCACACAAGCGCCAGTGAATGTGGAATGAACAAGTGTGACCGTCGACTCTCAGATGTGCAGGCCTCTCCTCCTCCCTGAGAACCGAAAGCCTCTGTCTTGACAAGGAAGAGAACTAAGCAGGGACAAATCCTCAGCTCCCCAAAGGCAACCTGCCCATCTCTTACGAGCCAGGTTCTGATGCCCTCCCATTCCTCAGCTGAAGTTGGTTCACAAGAGATCATCAATTCGCGTGTGGTAAATGAATGATCAATCTTCAGATACACATAGCCTACAGGGGTCATGTGAAGGCCTATGGGAATCTTGTTTAAGTTCTGAGGTCAAGGCCATAAGGCTTTGATTGCAGCCCTTCTCCACCAGACGTGGAAATGCCAACTTCATCGGGTTCTCATCTGAGGCCATGTTTTCAGCTCTCTCCTTCTCGGGACTTATTCCCTCCCCCTATGAACACTTTGGGACCAGCTCTCGTCCTCCAAAGCTGAAGGATCCATCCACGGGAAAGTGCCCCACAAAGCCGGAAGCTCTTCTCCCCTGACCACACCCAGCTGGGCTGGGCTGGAGCCTCCAGGATTCCTCGGTCCTGAGCAACCCCGTTCCCACACACTCCTCTCAGCCCTGGGGGAAGCAGCTTATTTGTTTATTCTCCAGTGGGGCCATATATGGAGTGTGATCTGCCAGAGCCTGGTCTCCTCAGAAATGACTCACCAACCCCCCCCCCCCCCCCCCCCCCACCCCTCCCCAGGGCAGCCCTAACCCTAAGGGGTCTCCAGGGCTGGAACTGCAGGAGGTGGGGCCCAGGTGTCCTTGAATGTCCACCAGTTTTAGGCCATGACCCCACAGTGCACCCAAGGTGGCTTGGTCACTCCCCTGCTGCTCACGAATCATGGGGCTGCCTTCAACCCCTGGCAAAACATGAATCACTTCACCTTCACCACCTTCACCACCACCCCACCCCGGGGGAGAAATGCTATTGCCAATAACTTGCTATCAGATGAGGAAACGGATAGAACTGGGGGGAAGGACGGGCAGGTGTCAGTATCCAGGAGGGGCCTCCGCAGGTATAGTTGTCGAAACCCCCGTAATAAATAAATGATAACAAAGGGCCTTAGAACCTTTAGCAGCACATAACTATTTGTGGAATATGGTAAATAGCTCAATAAATGAAGGAACCAAGAAGTAAAGGTAGTAACATAGAAGTGCTTACTATAATGCCAGGCACTGTTCTAAGTATTTTACAAATAACATTGACATTAAACCTCACAACAGCCCTGTGAGGAAAGGTGGTGTTATCCCCATTTCACAGACGAGGAAATGGAAAGTCACTGGGACTAGTAAATTTCCCAAGATACCACAACTAATAAAATAACAATAATAATAATAATAATAATAATAATAATA